GATTTTTAAAAACTTACAGAGTTCAGCTTTAAGTGCAGTAATGAAGTATTTGTACTTTGTTACTTGACACCCCTGCAGATCGAAGATGATCTATTGAGAAAGATGGAGAGAATATTGTCCAAAGCTGCACTCAGATTCAGAAGGATTAGAATAGGGATGAGACCTGAGGTGGCTGCCATCAGGTCATGTGTGATTTTTAGGACAGCAGTTTCAGAACTGTGGCCAGAGGCAGAAACCAGACTGGAAGTATAATAAAGGTTATTATAGGTTAGATTGGAGTGAAGTATTTTAGGATGCTTCCGGATACTTTAGGATAGGAAAAAGGTTATTGTAGTTTTTAAGATCTGGCCCAGTTTTTTTTTGTATAGGAGTGATTACTGCGGTTTTAAGAGAAAATGAACAATTCAGAGGTAAGAGAGGAGTGAATAATGGCAGCTATACTCAGGAGCAAAGGCTGGAGACAGGATTTGACCAGAGTTGTTGGGATTGGATCAAGCAGGCAGGGAGACCCTTAGAGCTACAGATTGAGTCAGAGATGTCAGAGATAAAATTAGAATAAGAAATAATCCTATTCACCTAGTTGCTTCATACATCAAATAATTTGACAGTTTGACTTTTCTGTCACAATTTAAGTAAAACATACAAAAAAGGAAGTCAGAAATAGTTTCTTGCAAAAATCAATAAATATATTTTTCAAGAAAAGATGAATTCATGGCTAGATTGGCGTAGATGAGCAGGGTGTTGATCTGAGCACTGTGTGCAAAAAGACAGAATGTTTTCCAAACTTCCCAAAAAGAGAGCTGTCTAGTTTCAGATAATTTTTAGTTTTCCAAATTATTCCTTTTGGCTAAACTTCACAATAAAGACACAGGTAGAAGTTTTATGTTTTAACGCCAAGATTGGCACATTTTCCATAGTGCTTTTCACAGACGAAAGCAGCTTCATACTGAACAGAGAGTCTGGAGACACAGTGGAGAACGATGTGCTGCCCGGGTCAGTAATGATGTGGGGTGGCATTTCTTTGTAGGGCCGCACAGCCCTCCATGTGCTCACCAGAGCTAGAATGACTGCCATTAGGTACCGAGATCAGATCCTCAGACCTTTTTGAGACCATATGCTGATGAGTTTGACCCTGTGTTCCTCCTATTGCAGGACAATGCTAGACCTCATGGGGCTTCAGTGTGTCTGCAGTTCCTGTAAAATGAAGGCAGTGAAGCTATGGACCAGCTGCCTGTTCCCCAGATCAGAATCCGATTATATTTCGATTGAGCACATCTGGGACACGTCTCAATCCATCGACCAATGTCATGTTACACCACAGACTGTCCAGGAGTTGTTGGATGCTTTAGTCCAGGTCTGTCGGAGATCTATCAAGAAACCATTTGCCACCTGATCAGGAAAGGCAAGGCAAGGCAAATTTATTTGTATAGCACAATTCAGTACAAAGACAATGCAAAGTGCTTTAAATGATTAAAATATAGGAAAATAAAACAGAATCAAAGCAAGTAGGGAAAACAATAAATAAATAGAATAAAATAAAATAAAAAATGCAGAAACAAAAAGAAACATTAAAAACAGTTGGACTAAAGAAAACAAAAAAGTTGAACTAATGATGTTTTAGTTGAACTGTTTAACTAGAACAGTCGAAGGCAATCCTAAACAAATGTGTTTTTAGTCTTGATTTAAAGGAACTCAGGCTTTCTGCACTTTTACAGTTTTCTGGAAGTTTTTTCCAGATAAGTGGAGCATAGGAACTAAATGCTGCTTCTCCATGTTTAGGTCTGGTTCTAGGTATGCAGAGCAGGCTGGAGCCAGAAGACCTGAGTGGTCTGGAGGGTTGATACACTGATAACAAGTCTGTGATGTATTTACTGTAGGTGCTAAGCCATTCAGAGATTTATAGACTAACAGAAGTATTTTAAAGTCTATTC